AAAAAAAAAAAAAAAGAGAAGAAGAAGACAGCCGGGTGAAAGGGGGCGAGAAAGGTGAGGGGAAGAAGAGGGTTGGCGAGGAAGAAGAGCCGGCAGCCATAGCTGACCGGAGGGTTGACCAAGAGGGTTGACCGGAGGTGTTGACCGGTGGTTACCGTAGTTGACCGGGGGTTGATAGCAGCGTTGATCGGTGTTGACCAAGGCCGTTGACCAAGGCGTTGACCAAGACTTTGACCAAGCTGGAGTTGGTAACATCTCGCCAAGCCCTCAGCCTATCCCTTGCCCTATGGATGTGCACACACCCCTTGGTACTTGCTGAGTCCAGTCTGTCTGTCTATTCTTTCTGCATCGAGTCTCTTCTGTCCTAGGTAATAGTACTCTGTGGATGAAGGATAGGGTCTTGTTGACCAAACCCACACAGGATGAGTAGGGCTAAAAGTTGTGTCTGACGACTCGACTGTCCCGGAGGTCAAACCCTCCCAAGGACCGGTACTGACCGGCGAGTTGCTCGGTGTGGCACAGTAGGCCTCGAAATCCGAGCTGTGGGCTATACAACAGACCGTCTAAGTCTTGAGAGACCTGCTGATCGCGTCCTCATGTCTGCGACGTTAAATAATTCCTGAGGAGTTCGGGGGATCTCCTTAAATGCCTCCTGATCAGCAACAGGTCTGGTAGTGACAACGATAGTTAGCTCTAGGCTAGAGACCATAGTTGGCAGGGTCCTTGTCAGGATTCTATAAGTCCTTAGACTGAGTCAGTAGGTTTGTCAGTCAGGGGTCAGAGTCGACGTGGTGAGGTTTGGAACCACTAACCCGGTTGTACACTTATCACCATGGTTGAGACCCGTAGTGGGTTAGACACTAGCCCCTACAGCAAGGACCAGCAAGAAAAGATGGCCGCCTTAGTGAGAGAAAACAGAGAGAGGAAAGAGCGCGAGAAGCAGGCAAAGCTAAAGGCTATTGCAGACGAGCAGGCGGCAAAGATGAAGGAAATAGAGGAGGAGATGGAGAAAAAGAAGAAGGCTGCTGAAGAAGAAGCGGCAGCAGAAGAGGAAAAAGAGAGAATGAGGATTGAGAATGGAGAAGGCAGCAGTGGTGGCACGATAAAGAGGGATACAAATGTTGAGCTTGAGAAGAAGATAAGCGAGTCGGTCACTAATTTATCGTTGGGAGAGGACGAGGAGGCGGAATCTTATGTGACTCAGGATGAGAGGGCTGCGCTAGCCAGTGAGCTAGCAGCAATGACGGATCCAATGGAATGGCGAGAAAGGGAGGAGGAGCAGAAATTGGCGTGGAAGCTGAGGATGAAGAGGGAGAAGAAGAGGAGGAGAGAGGAAGTGAGCAAACTGACCGCAGAGGTGGTAAGGGTGCAAGAATGTAGAAAGGAAGTGTTGGCCCAACATGATGACAAGGCCAAGTGGGACAAGGTGTTGGGTTACCTGGAAGTGTTGAACAAGGCCTGGATGGAGGAGCGCCAGGCTAGTTGGAGCCAGGATGTAGCCTTGAGTGACATGCGGTCAGGGTTTAGGGAGTTTTCGCGCGAGATTGTCGCCCACATTGGGGGCGAAGTAAAGCAATTGAGGGACAACGTAGGGAAGTTCTGTGAAGGCGCCATTGAAGGTGCAAAAGCCATAGCCGCTGTAGATGGCGAGGCTAGACCCCGTAAGGAACCAGTTAAACTTAAGTTCCCAGATGCGTACGGGGGAAAGAAGGAGGAAAACTTTGACAACTGGGAAGCCAGTGTCAACAGTTATATATACCAACATCACATTCTGAGTGAGGAGCAAGTCCTCGTGGCCTTCCAGGCCCTTAAGGATGAGGCGGCTAGTTTTGCCAGGTCCCTTGCGCGCGCAGCCGGTTGTGAAAACAACCTGGTTGCTTATTCAAGAGTCACCCCCCTGCCTCAATTCTTCAAGCTCCTGAAGGAGCGATTCGCAGACCCAACGAGAGGCGTTCGCGCCTCTGATAAGCTACAAACGATCCACTCGCGACAGTGGAGGAGTGCAAGAGTGCTCAAGGGTACCATGGACGACTTGGTAGCCGTCCCAGACCATGGGGTCACTAAGACCCAATTGGTCGAGTTATTTTATCGTGCCATGCCAGAGACCCTACGGGGGCATTTCTTTGACAAGTCTCAACAGGCCGGCATCACATATGATGCATTGAGTAGAGAAGTCATCCTGTATGAGTCGAAGTCCATGCCAGTGACCGCTTTCTGGCACAAGGACTTAGGTAAAGGAAAGCAGTGGAAGGGTCGTACCATCTCAGGCCAGGTGAGGGCCAAGGATCACATGATCCTTACGTTAGAGGAAGGTGGTACTGACGAGGTCCCATACAGTCAGATTGAGTGGGGCCTAGAGGAGGACAGTAGTGTGGGATACGCGGCTGGAGGGAGGCCGCAAGGTAGAGGAGGAGGTCAGGGCCAAAGGGGCCAGGCCATGGGAGGCCAAGGACCGGGCGCACAGGGGGTTGGCGGCCAAGGAAACCGCCAACTGGGAGGTAGGGGTCAAGGTCCCCCGCCAAATCGCCAAGGTTCTAATCGGTCCCCATAGCGAAGAGGTGGAAGGGCACCTCAAGGAGGATGGCACCCAGGCTTGCCACAGGGCAGGCCCTGGGAAGATTTGGGCTTGGACCAGCGCATATGGCAGGAGCGCGTGGACCAGGGTCAGTGCGTTTTCTGTGGTGACCCAGCCCATGTCAATAAATGTTGTCCTAAGTATAGACAGGCCCGTTGGGCTGCCCAGCAGTCAAAAGGCAGCCGCTAGTAGGGGTTGCAACTGCCCCTATTTCAAGGCCATGTGGAGAAGTGAGCGCGCGCGAACAGGATACTCCCAACCCACATGAGCCTATGGCAGAGGTTGCAGACCCGTGCCTAGATAGTTGTCCAGAGACTGCTTGTGTTAGCGTCTCTTTAGGCACGTCCCTCACAGGTGTGGCAAAAGAGTTAAAGGAGAGGATGCCAGTGTGGGCCAAGATGAAGAAAGAGAGTAAAGGATAACTGATTCTGGTAGATGTAGAAGTTTTCAGGAGTAGAGTAGGGGCCCTTATAGACTCAGGGGCCACCCGCAGTTATATTAGCCGTAGAGCGCTGAAAAAGTTAAGGCTAGGATTAAAAGTCCAGAAATTGGTAGACCCCATAGTCAGTGTCCTCGCAGACAACCGCACAATGCGTGTTGAGGACTATATAGAGGGAGTCCAGGCGTACTTTCGCCTAGAGAAGGATGGGAAGATGGAGAAAGTTCTCCATTCCCTGACTCTCCTCGTACAGGATGACCTTTCTTTCGACGTAGTATTGGGAATGGATTGGGGAGAGGCAGCAGGGGCCACACTCCATTTGAGAGAGCATGAGTGTAGACTCCCTAGCCCATCAGGCGAGGTTAAGACCGCCCGCCTGTTTCATGTGTCAGGTGTAGACAACACCTTAGCACATTGCTGTCTCAGTGCTCCCGCGTTCCCGTGGTTATTGAAAAAGGAGCAATTAGAGGACCAGATCTTTGTAGTCTATGTTAGACGTGTCACTGAGGCCAACAGATCCAACCATAGCCAAGCTGCAGGAGGAGTTCAAAGACTTAACTGAGTCGCCGACAGGAGTGGTGCCGCGACCCATCCAGCACATGATAAAGATAAAGCTTGACAGTAGAACTCCTAAGGGTCCAGTTTACAGGATGTCTCCTAGAGAGTTAGAGGAGTTGCGCAAGCAGTTAGACGAGCTCCTCGAGAAAGGTTGGATCAGGCCCAGTTCGCCTCCTTTTGGAGCACCTGTCTTGTTTGTCCCGAAGAAGGAAGGACAACTAAGAATATGTATAGACTATAGGGGTTTGAATGCAATTACCATGAAGAATGTTGAGCCACTGCCTAGGATAGACGATCTTTTAGATCGGGTGCAGGGTTATAAGTATTTCTCCAAGATAGATTTGAAGTCCGATTATCATCAGATAGAGGTCCATCCTGATGACCAGTACAAGACTGCGTTCCGGACTCGTTATGGGCACTATGAGTTCATAGTGATGCCCTTTGGACTGACCAACGCGCCAGCCACATTTCAGCGTTGTATGAACGATCTGTTCAGACCATGGTTAGACAAGTTTGTAGTAGTCTATTTAGATGATATATTAGTTTTCAGTAGGACCCTCCAGGAGCACCAGGGTCATCTGAGGCAGCTCTTGGAGAAGCTACGAGAGGCTAACTTCAAGATCAACGCAAAGAAATGCGAGTGGGCCAAGACACAAGTCCTGTACTTGGGCCACGTGTTGGATGGAGATGGCATTAAGCCAGAGGACAGTAAGATAGCGGCGATTAGAGATTGGTCGACGCCCCACACATTGACAGAGTTGCGGTCGTTCCTAGGCCTAGCTAATTACTACAGGAAGTTCGTGAGGAACTTCTCCACTATCGCCGCTCCCTTGCGCAGGTTGCTAAAGAAAGAGGCAATCTGGCAATAGGACAAAGACTGTACGTCTGCGCTCAAGAAGTTAAAACGCTCGTTAATAGAGTACCCTGTCCTCAAAGTTGCAGATCCGTCTTTGCCATTTGTCGTCACCACGGACGCGAGTCAGTATGGAATAGGCGCCGTGTTGCAGCAAGATGACGACAATTGTTATAGACCCGCAGAGTTCATGTCAGCGAGGATGCCCTCAGAGAAGGTAGTCACCTTGACGTATGAGAGGGAACTCTACACTCTCAGGCATGCTTTAGAGCACTGGAAGCATTATCTGCTTGGGAGGCACTTCAAGGTATACTCAGACCACGAAACTCTTAGATGGTTAAAGACCCAGGCCAAGATGACACCTAAGTTGACTAGGTGGGCCGCGGAGATAGACCAATATGACTTTGAGCTTAAGCCAATGAAGGGCAAGTACAACATAGTTGTGGATGCTCTAAGTAGAAGATCAGACTACTTTGGAGCTATAGTACACCATCTGGATATAGGGAGAGACCTGCAGGAGAAAGTGAAGCAAGCGTATGCGTAGGACCCTATCTATAGCAACCTCCTAAAGAGAGTTAGGGAGGCCCCAGAGACTGAGCCAGATTACCGCGCTACAGATGGGTTGTTGTTTGAGAACACTAATGTGTTTGACCGCCTGTGCGTTCCCAATAGCGAGGAGATCCGCAGCCTGATTTTAGGGGAATGTCACGACAAAGAGGGGCACTTCGGTTGGCAGAAGACATTAGCCAATCTGATGCGTGCGTACACCTGGCCAGGGATGAAGAATGACTGCATAGAGTATGCCCGCAGTTGTAAAGTGTGCCAGAGGAACAAGTCTACTACACGTGCGCCCCTAGGTCTTCTCAGACCCTTGCCTATTCCGGATCAGCCGGGAGGCTCAGTGTCCATAGACTTTATGGACACCCAAGTCAAGAGTAGGCATGGCAAAAGCCAGGTCATGGTCATAGTTGACCGTTTTAGTAAATATGCAGTTTTTGTTCCTTTGCCTGCAGAGGCACATACATATTTAGTTATACAAAAGTTCTTTGATTTCTGGGTTAGTGAGAATGGAATCCCATTGTCGATAGTTAGCGATAGAGATAGTCGCTTCACCAGCCAGAACTGGCAAGAACTCATGAGAGTCTACGGATCTAAGTTGTTGATGTCGTCTCGCCGCCACCCAGAGACTAACGGTCAGACATAACAGATGAACAATATCCTACAGCATGTTCTGCGCATGTACATTAGACCAGATCAGATCAACTGGGATGAGATGTTGCCTAAGGTTGCTAGTGCATACAACAACAGTGTGCATCTATCCACCTGCCGCACTCCCAATGAGTTGCACAAGTCCTTTAGACCATGCAGACCATTCGAAGGACTGAACTGGGATCAGATTCATAGACTACCGCCCGACACCAGGGAGTTTGCGATACAGCACGAGAAAGAATTAGCAACTGTTGTTGAAAACCTCTGGAAGGCACAACATAGAATGATAGAATAGGCCAATAAGCACCGCCGCCCATCGCAGTTTCAGGTAGGCGACTTAGTCTGGGTCAAAGCTAAAGAGTTTGCACCTGAGGAAAACATCTCACAGAAGTTACTGCCTGCATATAGAGGACCGTGGCGGGTTCTAGAAGTCAAGGGCGGAGAAGATGGACTGTCCTATACTTTTGAGATTCCAGCACACCTCCACACCTACCCAGTGTTCCATGCCTCAAAGTTGTTGCCATGTGTCACAAGCCAACAATTTCCTTCAAGAAGGTCCATGATCCCCCCGAATATGGATGGAAGCTACGACATAGAGGGCATTCTAGATGAGGATGTATTTAGAACAGGAGGTAGAGGCCGTCCCCAAAGGCAATACAAAGTTCGGTTTGCCTATCAGGAACCGGAAGACGATCGCTGGTTTACACGAACAGAACTTCTAGAGACAGCTCCCGACATAGTCAGAGCCTATGAGCGCGACAAGAAGGGTAAAGGTCTTGCCTTGGACTGAAATATTCTCGGAGGACCTCGAATTTAGGACGGCGGGAGTGAAACGGTTTTCACCTTTTAGCAGTAGCAGATGCAGTACCCAGGGTTCGCTCCCTAGACCTCACCCTACCTATGTACAGTATCGGTGTAGACCCCGAGAGTTGAACCTGTGACCTGTGTATTCGTAGACAGTTGGTAGGTCTGTCGTAGGTCCATAGGCAGCAGGGGTTCGATCTGTAGGTCTATAGAGTAGAAGTCTTAGCAAGTTCCAAAAGTCTAGCTGTAGTCCTTCTAGAAGGTCGGCAAGTGGGCAAGTGGCGAGGCAAGTGGTGGACTAAACTGCAGTGCAATCGCAGTACGACGACGGTAGGATAGCAGTGAGTCCACAGACAGTCAGCGTAAGGTCCAGTCAGTCCCAGTCCGGTCCAGCAAGTACCACCGGGGACTATGCACACCATGGGCCGATTGCAAAGGGCAGACCAACGAGTTTCTGAAGTATAAATCAAGAGGCAGCGCCCAGCCTTTCATTCATTTCCTGCGTGAGCCATGTGGAAGCACTGTCACAGCGACTTGTGCAAGGAGGTCTGCAGTGTCCCGTAGGACGCAGTGGGCGAGAAGAGAAGGAGCTTAGTATAGCGATAGGGTAGAGGCAGCCATAGCTGCCATAACTGTAGTTAGTGTGAAGTGTGTGTGTGTACGTGCGAGTGTTCAGAGTTACGCGTGTGGGATATCCAGGGTGATCCGGTGTGTGTGAACAGTGAGTTGTTTGGGCGTTGAGTCACCATAGCCAGTTGAAAGTGGACTTGTATCTGGAAGCCATATCTCTGAGTCTTGAGTGGGCGCATGTCGCCAGTTTGCCGCGTTGTTGTTTACATGCATGAAAAGTGTGAATAAGAACGAGTCTGATTGCAGGAGGTTCTACGGCGCAATTATCAGCAGCAGTGTGATGCAATCAAACAGACTCCGATCTATTGGAGGAGAGCTGCAGCTCAGGCAAGAATCGGGTCCAGCAACCCAAACAACAAAATAAAACAGGTAGCTCATTGACAAGTTACCACGATGATCAGGATGTCAGAGCGCACAAGGTCAGAAGAGGCAAAAAAAAAAAACAAGCATGCTACAATGCTATGTGGAGTTGCAACATAAATTATACCTCTTGGCTGAGGGTCAGTTGACAATGCTGCTTTGAATTCAAGGTATACCAACGGGCCTAGCTCACTAGGTAGACCCATTAACTGTTGAAATGCAGACCCAAATTCAATTCCAGATGCGGCCAGAAACAGAATAAAGTCTGTAATAAAAACAAGCGGACGTGCCGCTAGGCCTGCGGCAGAGGGTGCTCTCTCTCTCTCTCTCTCTCTCTCTCTCTCTCTCTCTCTCTCTCTCTCTCTCTCTCTCTCTGTGTGTGTGTGTGTGTGTGTGCGTATGTGTGTGTGTGTGTGTGTGTGCTGTGCGTGAAGAGACAGAGAGTTCCGCGTTATCTCTGAAGTGGTATTGTACATGAACAAGTGGAGAGTTCTTCTTTTTAGTATTCTTTTGAAGGTTTACACCATTGAGAAACTGACTGGCCCTTCATAGTCCAAGAATTCTCTTCATCTAGTTCCATCTGGATTCGAACTCAGGCGTGTATTTCAAAAGTTTGTGGGTGTTCAGTAAGAGGCGGAGAGCTCCGTTCACAGTCAGGTCAAAAATGATACCAAACGCCCCCCTCATCACCTTTCTCGCTCGCTCCTCTCTCGCTCCCGTGATTGTCTTCCTCCCTCCATGGACCGTTTCTCCCCATCCGTCCGAGTGTGAACAGAACTCTCTGTGTCTTCGCGCACATTACACGCACACACACACACACACACACACAGGCCACCCTCACACTGTTCTCCAACCTACCTATTTATTTTTTGGCCCAAGTGTAAACAGAAGTCTCCCTTTCTTCGTAACTTGTGCAAAATGAAAATGAATCTTCCCCTAGAACATTGAAAGATACACTGCCATATTTTCTTATCTTTAGATGGCGTAAGCAGCGGCACGGTTCCTCCCCATCCCTCCGAGTGTGAACGGAACTCTCGATGTCTTTGCGCACAACAGACACACAGACACACACACACACACACACACACACACACAGAGCGAGCGAGAGAGAGAGAGAGAGAGAGAGAGAGAGAGAGGCATGGACTACGGGGTGGAACACATACCTTCGCGAACAAACTCCGAGGATGTCGAAGTCGAGGACGTGGAAGTCGGTGTGTCGCAGCAGAAGGCGAACGAACTAGGATCTGCTTGCAGATTCCTGACAATGGGTCTGAAAGTCTCGTCTTGAGGCAGTAGACGGGCAATGGTCTGACGGGTCTCCTCTCCAAAGGAGTGAGTGGAGGAGATCTGAGCAAAAGAGTCAGGCCTACGAGAGAGGGCATCTGCTACCTTGTTGTAGCAGCCCTTCTTATGTTTCAGTTCAAAGTCAAACATGTCAATGAACCATACTTGCAAGCAGACGGATCGGATGAGCGTCCGGTCCGGTCCGCTTTGCCGCGTGCGGCACCCTCCCCCCAGACCGGACGGACCTAGACCGGACCGGACGGGGCCGTTTTTTTTTTTGGGGGGGGGGGGGGGGGCGTAACTGGTCGTCGGGCGCACATTCGTGCGCCGCACGAGTCAGGTCCGGCGGTCTACCGCATGTGCGAAACCGCTCGGACGGCGTCCGCTTGCAAGTATGCAATGAACTGAATGTACCGTGCCAACTTATCATTTAACTCTCCCTGGAACTTCATCCACTGTAAGGTGGAGTGATCAGAAAAGATCTTGAAGTGCCTGCCCAGGAGAAAGTGTTTCCAGTGTTTCAGGGCACAGACAATAGCATATAGCTCTTTCTCATAGGTAGAGTCCTGGAGCTTTCGAGTCTTGATCTTCTTACTCATAAACTCTACAGGTCGTAGACCATTCCCATAATCTTGCTGAAGAACTGCCCCAATGCCATACTGACTAGCGTCAGTGGTTAGGATGAATGGCAAAGTGGGGTCAGGTAACTTCAGCACAGGCGCACGAGTCAAGGCCTTCTTGAGTCGTGTGAAGGCCAACTGAAAGGGAAGAGACCAAAGAAAGGGAGTATCTTTCTTTGTTATGTTAGTCAGGGGTGAAGCCACTGCAGAAAAGTTCCTGACAAACTTTCTGTAGTATGAGGCCAAACCCATGAAGGACCTAACATCCCTCACTGTCTGTGGCTGAGGCCACTCGTGAATAGCAGCAATCTTGGCTGCTTCAAGAGCCAGACCATCTCCAGAGATTACATGACCCAGATAGATAACAGAGGGAACTCCAAAAGAGGACTTCTCTCTGTTGATCTTGTACTGGCTGTCGCGTAACGACTGAAGGACAAGAGCCAAGTGCTCCGCATGTTCCCTGGCAGTTTTGCTGAATACCAGGATATCGTCCAGGTAGACAACCATAAACTTGTCCAGGTAAGGCCTGAAGATGCGGTGCATCTCGGTCWAGAAGGTGCCTGGGGCATTGCAAAGTCCAAATGGCATGACCAGGAACTCATAGGTCCCATACCTGGTCTTGAAGGCTGTCTTGTAGGCATCCTCCTCCGCCATCTCAAACTGGTGATAACCAGATTTGAGGTCGACTTTGCTGAACACTGTGCAGCCCTGCACCATATCCAGGAGGTCATCGATCCTAGGAAGTGGCTCTGTACTCTTCCTAGTGATCTTGTTGAGACCCCTGTAGTCAATGCACATTCTGAACTCGCAATCCCCTTTGGACACAAAGAGAACAGGTGCACGGAATTCAGAAGTGTTGGGTCTGATCCAGCCTTTGCTGGTCAGGGTCTCAAGCTGCTTTCTGAGCTCCTCAAGCTCAGCAGGGGACATCCTGTAGATGCGGTCCTTGGGAGGGACCGCTCCAGGCAGCTGCTCAATGTGATGCTTGGTTGGCCGGTTGGGTAACCCAAAAGGGCTCCAGCATCAGATCTGCGTACTTGTCCACCACCTGGTGTATCTCAGGAGGACAGGAAACTGAGGGAGCATCTGTTTGCTTGACCAGAGCAATAAACAAACGCTCATGGTCGTACTGGCGTGAGAGAGAATAAAACTCTTTCGCTCTCAGGCAGTAGCAAGAGGTCTTAGGGTGATGATCAGCAGCAATCATACATGGCTGATACACCCCTTGGCTATTAGGTAGCTCAACCTTTGGGATCTGCCAGTCGATCCTTGGGTTGACTGCCTTCAACCACTGCATAGAGAATACCAAGTCAAAGGGCAGCTCCGGGAAGATGTAGAAGTTCAGACTGTGCCTGACTTCTCCAGCACTGTCGAAGGTCACAGGGATACCCTTGACCTTCTCCCTAATGTTGAGCACTGTAGAGTAACCAATCCTCACTAGCAGCGGTTGCTGCAGCTGCTGAACTTTCATGCCCAGGTGCAGTTTCTTGACTGCACTGGGAGACATGAAGTTCCTGGTGGCTCCACAGTCCAATAGCCCAGTGATCCTGGTGCGATTGATCAGGGGTCGAAGCATGATGAGATCAGTTCCTTCAGGTGGAAGAAGAAGGCTGCAAGTGACTGAAGCTCATCCTGCCCCGGGTCCTGATCCTCATAGCAAAAGGATGCTACCCGCGCAGTCCCCAAACAATCTGACTCTGTCTCAACTGAAACAGCTGCAGATTCACCTACCTGAGTAGATAAAGGTGCAGCGCTGGGGGAACTGCAGTCCCCAGGGTCTGTTTCAGTTTTTTGAGTGCCCTGGGCCTGGTATGTAAGGGCAGTCCTTCAGAAAGTGTTGTCCCTCACATATCAGGCAGAACCCTCTCTCCTTTCTTCTTCTCCAGACTCCCTCTTGGATCTTGAGGTCATGCCAGGGGAGTGTGGAGGGATTGAGAGGGTCAGCTGGCATCCGGACGTCTTTTGGCAGGTTAGGGCGCTGGGAAGAGGAAGGCCGACGTCCCTTTTCCTTCCCCTTGGCACTGGCTGAGGCTGTGGTGGGGGGAAATTTCTTCCGCTGCTGCAGAACTCCCAAAACAGCCTGAGTCAGGCCTGCTGCAACATCTGTCTCAGGAGCAAATCCAGTCCCAACTGAAGGTGCATCAGCCTGAGAATCTGAATCTGAACCTGATGCAGATCCCGCATGAGTAAAGGCTGCCTTTCCCTTTCTTCCACCTCTAGGGAAGGCACCTTTCCTCCTGTTAGAGGATGGGGCCTGGACATGAAGCTTTGCCTCCATGTCCAGGGCTGCGCAGCCAAAGAACCTCCAGTCCTTGTGCCCAGTGCTGTACAAAGCAACAACAAACTTCTCAGGCGCGGCCCTGCAGAAGTTGGCCAACAGATCGTCAGTTGACATGACCAACCCAGGGGTGGAGGTAAGTTGCTCGAACTCAGCAAACAAGGCCTGCAGGGTGCCGCTGTATCGCTGCTGACCCAGGCGAGCAATCCTGTCAGCAGCCTTGCGGGCCCATTCCTTGTCTGCAAATCGGTCCTCCAGGGCCTGCAGAAGTCTGTCTACCCCAAGCCCAAAAGCCCAGTCCTCCATGGACTGCTGCAGACTGCTGGAGGTTGAGGTGGCCCACTTCAAAGCGGGTCCCTCAAACAGTCCCAGAACAGTCGCCACCTTGGTCTGTTCTGCGCAGACAAAGCCCCTCAAGTAGACTTTGGTCCCAGCAGCCCAGTCCCCAACATCGGTCTTGGGGTCATCACCCCTGAACTTGTTGGGAGCAGGGATCTTGGGCCCTCTTTGGTCTCCTGCAGTAACAGCAGCATAGGTGGCCTTTCCTGAGGCCTTTTGGGAATGAGATGGTGACCAGGACGAATGTGTTGAACCAGGGGGAGTTGAAGGACGGGAAGAAGGAGGAGAACGTTTGGGTTTCAACAGAGGGAGCTGAGGGGCAATCAGCTTGGCGGCTGACAGCTGAGCAGTCAAGTTCTGAATTGCATCCAGAATCTTTGACTGTTGGGCTGCCAGGTTGTCAACCCGACGCTCCAAACGCTCAAAACGGTCGTCACAGTTCGTGAACTGGGAACTAGTGATCTTATGCTCCAAGATGACCATCTCTGCCAGGTGTTTGGTCACCTGGGCACAGCGGTCATCTGTGAGTGCCTTGTGTAGCTGCTGTAACAGATATTCCCTTCTGGAATGATCTGTTGCAGCCTCTAGCTCAGCTGCCTCCTGTCGTTCCAATTCTGCAAGGCGTTCCTGTTGACGCCGCAGTTGCTCTTGCAACTCCTTCTTTTCCTGCTGAGTAGCAGGCGGAGGTGGAGAAGGAGAAGTGGAGGTTGAAGGCTGTTGGCCTTCCACCTTCATCACCACTTCCGCCTGTGGCTGCTGCTGAGCCTCCTAATCAGACATTTTTCCTTTTCAAAATAAAATAAAAATAAACAGCAACCTGAGGGTGTAGCGATACTCAGATTGCTTCAGACACCCTGGAATCGCTACAATCTCTCAACACTGGAATAGGTAGGTGTACAGACAATCAGCGGTTTGGGTTGGAAGGGTGTCTCTGGGGTCAGGTGTCAGACAGACTGTCAGTCCAGCAAAATCATGCAACCGATTTCCTTTTACTGACCCTGCACCACACTGGAGTTAGTAGATCACTCTACTACTCTTCCAGAGACACACTAGATTTCCAGAGCCCACTAGAAGACAAGTGTATTTAGTGAGAATGATAGAACAAGGTTAGTACTGACAAAAGAGGTCAACCACATCAAGCGATTCAGACAACCACTATGTATCCTGACTCAAACTCTAATTTAGACCCTGATGACTCTGGCGGCCACACCCTAGGGTATCGCGAAGTACAGTATTCACTGTATCCAGTGAAATACTGTAAATCCAACTCTGCGATTCTGCAGTATTGACAATTTTTGGATTGGGATTCACTAGGGACTGACAGAATGGAATTCTGACGGACAAAATTGAAGTTGTGACTGACCCTAGTTAGCACAGGCTAGGAATAGACTCAGCGCAAAACCGCAATTCACTGTATCACTACCTTTCCAGTACAGAATTCACAATTTGAGCATCCCAGTATAATCGCAATGCAGTAAAGCAGTCACATAACAATTTTGGATTGAAAAGAGTCAACAGAGGGTTAGAAATGAGCAAAGAGAGGTAGGGGAGAGATGGCTATGGCTGTCATGCAGTCTGCGATTTTTACATCCAGTCACTGATAGACAGATAGACCATTATAATTGACTACACTAATACTATCTGGATGGCAATACAGGTAGGTGCATGGAACGGACTCACTTTCAGAGAATCTTGCAGGTGATGATGAAGATCTGGCTATGGCAGACGATACCCTTATCTCGCCAATTTCTTCCAGATATTCCTCCTGACACTTCCACGCATAGAACGGCTTCAAACTCGTTGATCCTCCTCAGGATCCTTTAGCGCTGCACTCCCTCACTCCAGATACCCTGTATCTGGTCCTGTGGCGCCTAGTATGCCAACACTAAAATATCTCGCCACAGTGCTTGGTAGCTGCTGATGCTAAAAATAGCCCCAGATGGGGTTATTTCTTCTGGAGATTGATATATAGCATCAATCTCTGCCAGCGCTACCCAGGGATGATGCCGCTCAGGGTTCCCTGATGTCCTCAGGGGTAATTCGCCACTCTGGGGTACTTCGCAATCTTACCCTCAGGGTTGGCTATGGCGAATTAGCCCTGTACTCGCCACTTCATGACAAGCGCCCTGACAAGCTCAGTGCGCTTGCTTAGTGCAACCACTGAACACTTGAATCCACCGCTGAAAGTCTTCTTCCCTGCGGACTCAGTACTGGGGAAGATGAATCACCATGAAACTCTCGCCAGTATATCGCCAGATGAAGAAGATGCCTCAGTGCGCTCAACCCTGAGTGCTTCAATTCCAATCCTGCCCCGATACCAACTGTTATGATCTTGGTTGTCTGACGAATTTTATCACCACTCACACACAGACAATCTCACACATGCCCATACATGCATAAGAGAAGGGGAGAGAGGAGACAGAGTCCAAACTGCACACAGGTGAAAATAAGCAGCGGAAGACAATCATGCACAAATGGGGAGAAGACACGCAGTGTTTCTCACTCTCTGAAACAACTCCCAACAACCAATCACAAGAAAGAACCTACGAAGATCACAATTGAAATTACACTGATGATGAGCCAACTCAAACAATTATCGTAACAGAGTTTGTTCCAGTATCTCGCCACGCTCAGAACTCACACCCCACTCTCTATCCTACACCCAGTTAGTAGCGCCACATCAGAATGGCCTCCTAGAGGCCAGCGCCAACCACCCTGATGAAGAACAGGTCCTGCGATGGAGTCTTTCGTGCCGATGGACAACTCTGACGAAGCAACAGGCAGCTATGGCTGCCACCACCCATGAGTACACGGTGTAGAGCCTCGATATAGCCCGGCCAGATGCAGATACCCCCAGGGGTAGATGCGCTGAGGATGCCCCAGCTATGGCAGACTCAGACTGGGCCGGCTATGGCTGCTGTCAACGGCGAGGTCTCAGGATGCCGCCTGCAGACAGTCACCGCCACCAACTTGCTTGGCTTCTCCAACGCTGCTTCGCGAGAATTGAACTGCCCAAAAGTCCTGAACCGATGTGCCGAACCTATCTATAGACTACCCTAGACCTAGACCGGACTGACTGACCGACCGGTACCGTTGCTGTTTCGGCCTCTCGGCCTCTACCGAACGCGGCTATAGGCTATAGGACCGTCTATCAGCCTAGGCCACTTAGGGCCTGTCTGTCCTAGGCGGTAGCCCGGGCCTGCTATACGCAGTTAGGGTAGCTGTAGGAATTCGGGTTAGTACTGGGCCTATATTTTCCCAGATTTACAGATATGTCCCTCACGAATTTCCTTACAGGTAGGTCTCTCGGTTAGCCCTCAGCCAAACAAAATTGTGAATCTAACCTACTGCTGTACTATACAGCCTCGCAGTCAGTCTCGGCAGTAGAAATCAGCAAGTCATTGCACATACACACAAAGCAGGGCCGATACATCATGAAGTGGCCACCGGCCTATCCAGAAGCAGTACTGTCGACGCACCTACCCCGTGGTTCTGCACAAATGCAGCAAACGGCCCAAGTCCGGACACTCAGGTCGTGCCCAACTGTAAAGGGCCCAGGCCCTCAACTGTAGACTCGGGCCTGGGCGCAGGAGCTGAGGCCCAACCGGAAGCTACTGGAAGCTTCCAGCCAGGCCACAGGCAACATCCAGGAGGATGCCACTTCCATATAGGAAGTGAGGCAGCCCAGGCCAGGCATTCTGGCCCGCGTAGGCAATGCGGTCATGCTGCTGCGCTGCTGCATCGTATGCTGCACTGCGGCCAGGGCGCTTGCGGGGCGCATTGAGGTGAAGTGGGGTGCTGCAAGGCAGCGGTGCACTGGCAGCCATAGCCGGGCTGCTGGGCGCAAGGGGGTAAAAGGGGGCGATCTGGGGTGCTGCAGGGCAGCGGTGCACTGGCAGCCATAGCCGGGCTGCTGGGCGCAAGGGGGTAAAAGGGGGCGATCTGGTGGTCTTCAGGGAAGGAGGCAAGTGTGTGGGTTCTCAAGGTCTGATGAGGGTGACGAGATACATATTTGGTGCATGACGAGAGGTCGGCTATGGTGTTGACATCATGTACATTGGTCTTCGAGAGTCGAAGTGAGCCTGTTGCGTGAACACAGCTATAGGTAGGATAGTCGAGTAGAGTAGGCTAGGCGCTGGGTGCCAGACAGAGAGGCGACTTATGGATACTGTGTTGGTGTGGCCTGTGGGCTTGAACATTGGCTCATTACTTCATTGTATTGCTCTATTTGGATGGATTCTCGGTGCAATTGTGCTCTCTGCTTGTGCACGACTACTTGGACATCTGTGTGATTTCACAACTTGGTTTTCTGTATATCGTTCACACTCATATTCCTTGCAAGGTGTATGAAGGTACTGTGAGCGCATGCTTAGGCTGGGCGGGGTGGGGGTGGGTGGGAGTGAGAGAGTTAGATTAGGCTAGTCTAATTAGGAGAGAGGGACGGGTGGTGTGGCTACAGTAATGAGTGGGTCTACCCCATGGACTTGACTCCTCGGTCCAGTTTTAGATTCACAGGACTGTAGCCTACCGGGTGAAGGAGGCAAGAGAGCACAGTGTACAAGCTGAGCCACAGTAGGCTCGGGGGGTCCACTTTGACCCTGTGTGGATACTGTAGGAGCTTGTAGACAGCAGCATAGTGGATAGGAAGGTGAGTAGAGTGTCCAGGAAAACGAGGGGAATGTAGTGGGATTGAGGGTAGGTTGTAGTAGTATGCGTAAGGGTAAATAGAGAGGTACGGGGGAACAAAGGAAACCTTAAACCGCAAGTACACGGCCCCAGCCTTGCAGAAAGTTTTTGTCGCCACAAGTGAAACTCGGAAGAGCTGCGCGGCGTGGGGCGTCGTTGAGAAAAAAATCGGTGGCCTCCGAAGTGGTGCGGGTTTCGTGCTGACACCCGCGGGCCGACGTGTGGTATACTGGTTCTTTAAGCCATCAGTACTTGGCCCAGCTATCGGCCGGGGGAAAAAATAGAGTAGAAACGTTTCTAGTCGGATGAATTTGGGCGCTCCTGTAGTCGCCCGTACATTTCCTTAAATCGTGGCGCGTTAACGGGCACGACTGTAGGAAGTACTTGTGGTTTAACAGATCTACACGTCGGCCCTGGCTTTCTGAAAATGATAAAACTGTGAGCTGACGAATCTGCATCAGCCCTGAACTGACAAAATTTGTGGCTGTCACAGGCTGTGTACCTTCCCATGTACCGTACTAGATTCGTTCTCATCTTGCATTCAAGGACGACTCAGCCCTCCGGTTGTTTTTTTGGGCGCTCATCCCCTGCTACTCCCCCATACTCGTTTCTTTGTTGCTTTTTCTTTTCGCTGGGCCCCCCGACTTTTCCCAACATATGCAGCATGGGTCACCCATGGGAGTGCTACGCGAGACACTCTTTCCAAAGCCTTTTAACTAAAGAAGCCCTGCGCTCACGGCACATTCAGGGAGTTATTTGACAAAACAATAGCCTTGTCAGTTATTTGACAAAACGATAGCCTTGTCAGTTATGGTGAAGTCTACCTTCCACTGTCAGAAGGAGAACTTTATGCACACCCATTGAGCAACGGGCATAAGATTTCTGACAGTGGCGAATTGAGGTATATTGAGTGTGAAATGGAGAGGACATCAATGCCAACAGATGATAGAAATTTACGGACGAGTTGGGGGCAAGTGTCCACCGGGAGAAGAGACAACAAAGAGTGGAGGCCATGGTCAGGGATGACAGTTTGCTAGAACATTTCTTTTGCTTGCTAGGAGGGGAGAGGAGACTTCTACTTCTTTGAGACAAGGAAAGCTCTGCTAGACTTTAGCTCTGGGCTCATTCTCTGGGGTTGATGTTAGGCTTTGCCGCTCAACTTCTTGTTTTAAGGATTTACTTTTCCCCTGAAAAAGTTGGAAAACAGACCCAAGTCAGCATTTTCTCTGGAGAAGATGCAAGACAAGACATCCCTTTTCTTCCCTGGTTTCTTGAGCACGTACGTGATCTCCATGCCACCAGAGAAGTCCTTGCCATTCACCAGTGGAACTTCTGTCCATCCACCATTGTCAACAATGAGGAAGTTTTCAAAGATCATGGAGCCCACATGGCTGGCTATAGCACCTTTATGTCCATTTCTGTAAGCCGTGAGACCATAGAGAATCTGCAGAAATACTCAGGAGGAAGAACAATGGCAGACATGTTCAAGCAGGACGTAATGTGAGAAGATAATTCTCTGGCTCAAAAACCTTTGCCAGATGTGCTTGTCTTGATTAGTTTGGCATTCATTGGATTACTGGCCATTTAAACGTGACTCACAAACTCCATGACTGACAGTGAACATCAGTGGCCAAACCGGACAACCCTTGCAGAGATGGAAATCGTTACAGTAGGCTTCTCTAACTCTGTAGAAGGTTCAACCAGTATTAGGAGGAAGAGAATGCCAATGCAGATAATGGCAGCAGAGGAGGAGGAGGAGGAGGAGCAGCAGCAGCAGCAGCAGCTGCAGAAGAAGAAGAAGAAGAAAAAGAAGAAGAAGAAGAAGAAGAAGAAGAAGAAGAAGAAGAAGAAGAAGAAGAAGAAGAAGAAGAAGAAGAAAAAGCACCAGCACCAGCACCAGCAGCAGCAGCAGCAGCNGCAGAAGAAGAAGAAGAAGAAGAAGAAGAAGAAGAAGAAGAAGAAGAAGAAGAAGAAGAAGAAGAAGAAAAAGCAGCAGCAGCAGCAGCAGAAGAAGAAGAAGAAGAAGAAGAAGAAGAAGAAGAAGAAGAAGAAGAAGAAGAAGAAGAAGAAAGCAGAAGAAAGCAGCAGCAGCAGCAGCAGCAGCAGCAGCAGCAGAAGAAGAAGAAGAAGAAGAAAAAGAAGAAGAAGAAGAAGAAGAAGACGAATAATAATAATAAGAAGCAGAAGCAGAAGCAGAAGCAGAAGCAGAAGCAGAAGCAGAAGCAGCAGCAGCAGCAGCAGCAGAAGAAGAAGAAGAAGAAGAAGAAGAAGAAGAAGAAGAAGAAGAGAACAGATACCACTGTCCAATTTGAAATGGATGTTACATGCTGCGCCTGCACACGGGGCCCATTTGCGGGGCCCGACGGTTGCTGAGGGGCCCCCAGGCCGCGTGCCCATCGGACATGCGCCCTGGCGGCCCACGGCGGCCCCCAGGCCGCAGGTTTCGATCAAAGGCGGCATTTATTTATTTATTTACTTATTTGCTGTCCTATTTTGTATGTGCAGACGTCGTTTCGGACCTGCAGGGCCCAAGGCGACGGCTTGGGCTGGGTACACAGGGGCGAGGCCGTTTTCAGGCCAGGCGCATTTTGGCGCCTTGCTGCATCAGCAGCACGGTCTGGATACCCGGTAGGGGCCCAGACCGAGTAGGCCGTTTTAGGCCAGCCTCAGAGGCACGCCCAGCCAGGCCCAGCGCTACATATAGCTGGGCTGAGGCTGGGTACTGGACAGTTGAGTAGCTCACTTCTTGAGCGACATTCTGCTGGTTCAGCGCTGCGCCACTGAGTTGGAGGCTGAACACTGGAAGGCAGAGGGGCGGAGTCCATACCTGCGACGAAGGGGGACTTACCTGGCGCCATAGCTGGGAGTCCCCGTGCACGCGCGACCTGCACACGAGGACTTACCTGGCGCCATAGCTGGGAGTCCCCGTGCACGCGCGACCTGCACACGACTTCACAGAACGGCGGTCAGTTCAGCGTTAGCACCTGCAGGTGAGGCAGCAAGGGAGGCGACATCTTCTTCTTCGTCAGTCTCCCTCTCTTCCTCCTCCTTCCTTCTTCTTCTTCCTCTTTCTTCTTCTTCTTCTTCTTCTTCTTCTTCTTCTTCTTCTTCTTCTTCTTCTTCTTCTTCATCAGATACGAGAGAGAGAGAGAGAGGTTAAAGGCAGAGGAAACAGGCAGAGGTTACTGTGGGCATGGCGCCCAGGATCTGATCCGACATTTTTGAGGCAGACATTGATTGGACTTTCAGCAAGGGATTATTTTTGGAATGCGCTATCGCGATCTTGGTCTACTCCCTCGCCCCCCCTCCTTCGTCTCGCCTCTCCCCCCCATCTCCTCCGTGGTATCTCCCCCATGTGTGTATACAAGGAGGGACCTTTCTTCTATGTGTGCGGTCCCTCCTTTTCTTCTCACATGTGTGGTGTATGATGGGATGTCGCATCAGTCCCGGTCAGGTCAGGACTTATCGTTGAGTCTTCCTGTCGCATACCATAACGGTGCAGACCAGAACAAGAACCGACCTCTCTCACAAAGTACAAGATAGCATAGTGGAAGACTTAGATACCAATGATCCGAACAATCAATGTTGCCATGCAGCCCCAAACATACATCATCCTCATTCCATGGTGTGAAGGGGCCTGGCGCTCACACAGGAAGAATGCGCCAGTCCCCAACCATACACAGACGAAGAAGAGGGGGGTTAGATGAAGAAGAGGGGAAGAGGGGAATGTCGTCAACACCAAGTCTTCGGCACAGGCCCCAAATAATCCCTCGTCAAATGTCTGAATCCCAATGCTGAGTCTGGATCCAATGTCGTCAAGTCCCAAAGTCACGACTCTCTCTCTCTCATAGTCCACAAATACTGAGAAGTCAGGTAGTGAGAGGGTGAAGAAGAGGTGGTGGACTTAGAAGAGGAAGAAGTAGAACTCTCTCTCTCTCTCTCTCTCTCTCTCTCTCTCTCTCTCTCTCTCTCTCTCTCTCTCTCTCT